CCCGCCTCTCCCCCACATCCCTCCACCGCATATCACATCATCTACCCGTGTCCCCCATATACTCCTCGATGTTCTCTGGGCTCCCAGCGCATCCACTCCCGCGCACGCACGTAGACGCGTAGATTTCTCTTTCCTGGTACATATATACTTGGACTATTATCCACCACTCAGATGTAATGGAGCGTCGACTATCGGCGTGTTCTCTGTGTCTCTGGCGTGACTCTCGGAATCCCCATGTCAAAGCCGCGTGGAAGCTCTGCGGTCGCGTACAGCGAGTTCTGCGACGTCTCCGACCCCGGCCTGCCAGAAAGTTGAAGCTCGTCACGCGATCGCGTGTCGTACGTCATCAGTGTGCGAGTGCCTGCTGCTTGGAGTCCTCGCCGTCAATAAACATACACGAGTGTGGTCTCGCCACTGTGGCCCTTGGCGCCCTCAATGCACACACCCAGCTCATCAACATGCCCTCACCACGTCGGATGTATGCACACAGCTAAGTTACAACGAATGTTTTCTGAGAGCGGATCCGGCCGCCGCGACGAATCGGGGGACGTGCATTGTACGGGAAATAATCAGCCCGACTCCGGCCGAGTCCGTGCCGCCATGGACCCATCACCGCCTATAGCTCACGCGCATCACGCCTCGACGGCTCTCGCCTCTGCCTCACCGGCCCGCGCGCGTTCGGTGCTGCACGCATCTCGAGGGTCTAGGAACGGACTGGACCTGCTCGCCGGTCGTACTTGTATGCTCAGCATCTCCGATGGCGAGCGTCCCTCACCACCCACCGCACCCGTACTCTGATACGGCCACAACTTCAATCAACTTAGCATAGCGCTTGTAGCTTTCAGGGCTACTTGACAGACCACTTCACCAGCCACGACGTACTTCCCTGATATCTGCGATATCGACATTTGCTGCTCCGAGCTTGGGTACTCGTTGTTGCAGCCTACGCCCGTAGCCGATTCGCATTCACATCTGCCACCCGCTGCTGCGTCGCATACCAAGAGGAAAGAGATGCCTTATACACCAGGTGCGCTATGATATGACTGGGCAATGCGACTATGCAAGAGAAAGAGGCTGATGGCGTCGTAGGGAATCCGCAAAGAGGCTCGGATTTGTTCACCGAGCTCTGCGTACATTGCCACACAATCGAAGCAGGCGCCCCACATCCATACGGCCCCAACCTCTCCGGGTACGCTCTTCGCCCCCTTCTTTCTTCCTCTACCCAGTCTCAGACACAGACCACAGCATCTGGGGCCAACGGGCAGGCACAATCCCCTCCTACGTCTACTCCCCCGCGAACGCCGCAGCCGGCACAGGAAAGAGACCCATAACATGGGACGAGCAAACGATGTACGAGTACCTCCGCGCGCCGAAGAAGTATATACCCGGGACGAAGAAACCGTTCGAGGGCGTGCCGAACGAGCAGGACCGGTGTGCGCTCGTCGCGTATTTGAAACAGGCGGTACGTCGTCCGAGTCCGCATCCATATCTGCCATGCGCGAGGGGAGGGAGAGGAAGAGGAGATGCTGACGACGGACGCACAGACGACGCCGCCGAAGGAGCCGGAGAAGCCGCGGAATGTGTGCTTCATACAGTGATTGTGCTCGACGAGACGGATTCGGGGTTTGGGAGGATGTACACTTGAGAGACTCGAGAGACTAGGAATTGAGATAGCATTGATATTCACATTGTATAGTATTGCATCGCGCATCGCGCATCGTTATGTATCTTGTCACTATTCATCGCATTGTTGAGAGGGAGAGAGGGGGGGTACACGCCACAAGACTGATGGGCTCGTGGTGGTAAGAGGCAAGCAGTCGCGATGGCGCGCCAACCCGAGTCCTGCATACTTGCTTTATACCGTCATCGTACATCTCTATGTCAAGCGCCGCGGGCGGCAACAATGAACTTTTGTTCGCGTTGGATCAACTCCTAGCAAAGTACTTCGATGAGAAAGATGGTTCTGCGAGGGAGAAGACATCGCTTGACAAGTTCTGGGGCACGTACTCGCGCGCGATGCAGGACGAGGATGAGGCGCGGCCGAAGGACTGGGACGGAAACACCGGCAGCATATTGACCTTTGTGCGTCCAGCTACCACACTTTTCAAACTCTATCGCTGATTCAGCACACAGACTGGTCTGTTCGCTGCTACCGTCGCAGCCTTTGTGATCGAGAGCTACAAGTCGCTCTCCCCAGACTCTGGCGACCGGACTGTAGCGCTTCTCACTCAGATCCTCGCCGCGTCGACCAATGCATCATCCAGTCCTGTCATTGGCCCTACGTTGATTGAACCGTTTCATGCGCCGATGTCAGCCATCATCGCCAATGCACTCTGGTTCTGCAGCCTCGTCGTCGCGCTTGCATGCGCTCTTCTGGCTACATTGGTCCAACAGTGGTCTCGCGACTACGTGCGCGACATCAAGCAGCGGGATATACTCGACGAAAGCATGACCAGCCGCGCCTTGAACCATGTCTACATCCGCATGGGCGTGGACCGCTACGGGATGGACGGCGTTGTGAACGTTATCGTCGCTCTCGTTCATCTGGCCGTTATGCTCTTTGCCGCCGGTCTACTGCTGTTTCTCTTCCCCATTAACGATGCGATATCGTGGTGCACCGTGTCTGCACTTGCTATCTTCGGCGCCGCATACCTCATTGCGAGCGTTCTACCGATCTTCGACACAAGTTGCCCGTACAAGACGCCTCTCACGTACCCTCTCAGCTTGGTCCATCTATTCCTCGTTCGCATCTCTCACGTGCAAATCCCAAGGAAACGGAGGATACCACGTCGGATGTTCGACTTCATGTCCTTCCCGCGCTTCCAGTTTATATGGAATCATACCAGTCGCCATCTCCTACTTTCGACGGACGGCACCTCCACTCAAACATTAGTAGACTCGATGTCAGATATCCTAGCCAACATGCATGACCCCTCTGCCCGCGATGCTGCGATCGATGTACTATTGAATGACAGCCTTTTTTCCTACCGGCTCGACCACGTACGCTTATCGGACACATCAGACTCCGGCCGTTTACGCGATACCAGCTTGAACATGGCCTGTCTCCTACTGCAAAAGTGTTATCTCAGGAAAGATACCTGGGACATTGACGACTGGAAAACAAAGCTGAGCGAATACCTCAGAGTGATACTATCGTCAAGCTACACGCCGGGCGCGCACGATCATCAACATACTCCAGTCAGTCTCCGCGCGTCCCTCGCGCTGCTCCGCGTACGCTGGTTCTTGCTGCTCGATTGCGAGACAACTTCTTATATAGGCTCGGACTTCAGCATTGCGGAGTTCGACGCGCTGTACTTCGCGCCGGAGTCTAAGGGCGGGCATTGGCGGTCGAGAGTGCTGCACGATCAAAGGATGATCGAGTATCCAGAGACGCTCCTTATCCTGATGAACTCGCGCCTTTACAATCGACTGGAGACGCCCAGCACCAGGGTCAGCGAACACGAAGACGCGGGCTCGTGCTTGGTACCTTTGCATGACGGCGATTGCTGTACCAGTCGAAACGGCCCATCGACACACGTCGCAGCCTGCACAGTCCTAACGCTCATCACCCACATCCTACGCGCATGGAAACATAGCGACCGCGATCCTCAACTCATCGACACGCTATACTACGACGTACCCTTATGGGACCGCGGCATATCGTTCACAAACTGGCACCGCGTCTTCAAGATGAGCGACGCTGAACGTCATTGCGCGCCATCTGACCAGTTCATAGCCGTACTACGAGACGCCGGGTTGGACGAGTGGATGGGGCCGGGTGGGAATATCGCGTTCCAGCCATCACCGAGGTCGCCGATGGGCCGGCTTTTGTACTGTGTCATTGACCCGCACGCGCCGGACGTTACTCTTGTGGATGTCCTTCGGACTCTCGCTATGCATGTTGATCTTAGCGGGGCTCGCTCAGATCACGACCGCGATCCACCCTTGAAGCTCTTGGAAGACTCCGTACCAGCACCGTCTACCTCGCGTGAAGAAGGCAGATACAACGCCGCCGATCACTCTGTCAACGCGACATCAGCAGAAAGATACGATACAAGACGCTCAGCACACGATGACGTCAGTATTAGACTTCAAGAAGTCGTCGTCGAGAGGACGGCCGTTGAAGGCGCGAGAGATGGATAGCTGATAGAGCGCGAACGAGAGTCAATGCATCAACACCACCGGGCGGCGCGGAGAGTATCATATCGTGCAACGCTCTCCTTGGGCTGTCGTCGTCGTTCTCAACGTCTGAGCTGGACGAGGAGCGCAGATCGACGCTAAGCGGCAGTCTTGGGGAAAGCCGTCAGGACTCTGCATGCTGTGGCGGAGCTCGGCACTGCGGTCCTTCCATGCCCTAATTGCTGCATGTATTCGTACGAGTACTAGTAGTCGCGCATAGCAAGATCATGCAGAACTCAATATGCATACCCTGATGCTATGATACTCTTCTGTGAGCCTCGTCCCTGGCATGCACACACAAACCGAGGGGGCAGATGTACAGAACACGCGAGGTATAAGGTCGCAAGGAGCGTGCGCATTGTGCCGTGCCTCCGCCCGTCCTTCGGACGGCTGGGCTTAACCCTAACCCTAGTTTGTTGCAACGTGCAAAACTGGATACTGGTTTGACGTAAGGTGTATAGTAGCATCTACTCATAGGTGTGCATGCACAAATGCAAATGTCATCCCGGCACACTCTCCTAACGTCATTTTCGTGTGTACAACCCTACAATTTGACAGCACCTTCAGTCACATCTTCCCCCGGCCGTTCCGCAAGCGCCACAACGAGCACGACAGGATGCGCAGCCGGCGGCTCCAGGGACACGCTCGCATCTACGACGCGTAGACCAGTTGCACCGTGCCCCTTGAGTGTCCCGACGACGCTGTCTGCTTGTGACGTGCCGAGTCGTGCGGTCGAGGTCGTCGTCCGTAAGCTACATAGACGAGTGTCAATACTCTAATATCTAGACGTAATATCGTAGAACGTACCGTTTCGGAGCCCGCACATCCAGGCCACCGTATCCCCTCCCCCTTCCTCTGTCCCTCCACGTCCCACTTGCTCTCAGCGTCAACCAGGCGCTTGTTGAATACGCCAGTGGGAGGAAATTCGAGCGTCTGGGGGGCGGCGCGGCTATTACCAAAGAGAAGGTAGAGGGAGCGGACGAGTACGCGCGCAGCGGGTGGAGTGGAGAAGTAGCTGTGCGTGCGCAGATGTATGAGCGAAGGGAGTGGGACATCTCAAGTAGGGGATGGCGTACTTGGGCTCGAGCGGATCCGCCGAACGAAGACGAATGGCCCGTTGACTCTTGGGCTTGAACAGCACTGAATCCTACAGAGCGATGTTAGTCTCTCCCTTAGAGGACTTGTGTGTGATATCGATGTACGCGCTATCGAGACGCCTTCCTCGGCTCAGAAATTGCTATTCACGAAGTCGACGACGACGAGCGGGTTGGCTCAAGACTTGCCCTTCCATTGGGAGCGCTGCTCGTGGTCAGCCCCGATGGTAGAGGCATCTTTGGCCTAGATATACGCACATGAGTGAGCTCTGGCTAGGACGTGGTAAATAAGACGAAACGAGCACGTACACAGTGTTGCTCACGTTGCCGAATGCAGCGCCTGGCGTGCCGAGCCGCGTATGACGGCTATTCCGTCCTGAAGACATTATGCAGCCGCGAATGCGCTCCATCATGACTTTGCGAGGTATGTAGTCAATGCTGTACCTGGGGTTTGTCTGCGTCATCTATCAGCGTCCATACGTAGGTGGGGAAGTAAGACGCGTGCACCTTCAAAAGAATCGACCCGCTGCCCTACAGAGTTCACCAACGACTTCGAGCTTAACTTCTGATCCTAGTCCACTAAGCGGCAGCAGGAATTGCACCGCTCAAAATAATCTCCCCAGCCTGGGCGTGCTTGTTGAAGACGATCGTACTCAGTTGTACTCCCACCCTCGGCCTCCTCCTCTTTGGATAACACTTCCTCCACCTGCGCGTCTACCGCGACGCTCAGAGTCGGTCTTGCGAATGTGTCCGGTCAAACTTAACGTGTGCCATGCTGTGTTTGCGCCGTAAGAGCCCGCGTATGAGTTCGTGTTGGGAGTGAGGGAGTGAGGGAGTGAGCCTGGGTCCTCGATTGTGCCTGGCGAACTGCGCACTTATCCGGTCCGACCTTGCCGGAGCGCGTATAAAATCGCGGAAAGCTTGACTTGGCCCCTCTACTACTGCACTTAACACTGATCCGGCCTAACGCCTCCACACGTGCGCTCACGCATGATTCCGCGATCGAGTGAAGCGCGTACTTGAATACTGTGCTGTACCGTACCAGCTGGGGGAGGACCCAGGGTACTCCCTTGGCGCCCACAAGTCATATAAGTACGCCACGCTTGACACACACCCTTGAATCAAACTTGTCGTATCTGAGCCGTGTTGCATGATGCTTGATGTCGGGACTGGGGTTGCCATCCCTCTGTCATATTTGGCGCCTGCGAGCGATGCATGCCCGGAATGGTGCATTTCGCGCGGGGCCGATACGCGCGCCATTATCAAAGCCTTATCTCTCTACCTCCATCCCCCCCTTCCTCTTCGCAGGCATGTCAACCCCGGGCATCAGCCAGAACGAGCTTCTTTCTGCTCTAGATCAACTATTTGCGAAATATTTTGACGAGAAAGACGAGTTCAGCCGAGAGAAGGACGCAGAAGACAAGTTTTGGGGGACGTATCTGCGGACCATGAAGGATGAGGACGAAGCCCGCCCGAAGGATTGGGACGGGAGTACAGGGAGCATATTGACTTTCGTGAGTATGGTCGTACAGTCTTAGCCTTATATGACTGACCAGCCGCTTTGCAGACCGGTCTGTTCGCGGCTACCGTCGCCGCATTCGTGATAGAGAGCTACAAGTCCCTATCGCCGGACTCGGGCGACGAGACCGTTCTGCTTCTGAGACACATTCTTGCGGCAACAACAAACACATCAGCGCATGCGCTTCCACCTGCCGAGCCATTCAGTGCATCTCTTCCTGCCGTACTTGCGAACGCGCTGTGGTTCATCAGTCTTGTCGTGGCACTTGCTTGTGCTCTCCTCGCCACTCTGGTGCAGCAATGGTCTAGGGATTATGTGCGAGATCTCAAACAGCGTATCTCGCTAGATGAGAGTTTTGCCAGCAGAGCTTTGAATCACATGTACATTCGCCTTGGTGTTGACCGTTACGGCATGGACAGTGTTGTTAGTGTCATCATCGCCCTTGTTCACCTTGCCGTGGTGCTCTTTGCCGCTGGTCTGCTTCTTTTTCTCTATCCCATTAATGCCGCTGTGTCGGGGTGTACCACCTTTGCGCTTGTCATATTTGGGCTGACATATGCTCTCGCTGGACTTATCCCGTTCTGGGATACAAGCTGCCCATATAGGACACCCTTGACATACACCATCGCCATCACACACCCGCTTTTGAAATTTGCCACCGCCTGGGCACTATACGGAGCGAATACCGTAAAAGTCTCTATCATGGTCTATTCTGCCGATGTTGTTTCTAAAATTGCTCCTGGATGGTGGGGAAGGCGCCCCTCTAGGCAACAAACCATGCGTAATACCGTTCTTCGCGGGCCTTCGAGTAGGCGACAACCCTCCCCCAACCCTCCCACAGTGCATGTCTCGCTCAATGAACGAAGGGAAAGTCGGAATGCACAGACAATGTCGTTTCCTATGTTGATCTTCGCATGGAACCAAGTCAGATACCAAGTGGATCTTGCAGACGTGCCCATGATGATAACCTTGGTCCAAAGTTCTTTGAGGTTTCTACTTTACGCAGACTCGCGCCGTGAATTTGAATGCGCTGATTTCATTGAGCACCTCATTCGTGACAGGGACATCGCATATCATTCGCGTAGAAATATTCGATACGGCAGGATATCAGATCCTGATGCGCGCATTTCCGTGCTGATATTCACTTGCACGATGCTGCAACGGGCCTGTGAAGGCAATGACTTCTGGAGGAGCGAAGATTGGTCGGTTTTGCCCTATGCCATGTTATATCGGCCGCCGCCCATGAGAGATACAACTTGTGCAGAGCGTTATTTGGAGGGGTTTCTTTTCACGCTGGGGCATATCTCCCTAGATTCTCCCCGCTCCGGCGGCAGGACACTCGTCTTGCGAACACAAATGACTCTATTCTTATTTCGATGGGCTCTACTCTTCGCAGAACGCTACAAGCACCACCCTGAGGGCGGTGCGGCTTCAGACTCGGATAGCCGCAGGTGGGGCCATTTCTTCTCCAAAGAATTTGGAACAGATGCATATAGACTCAAGACTTCAGATGATGAATCCGAAGCCGGACAGCTCGATGAGATACTCTCCGAGGCAAAACATTCCCTGAACCAGCCAAGGTTCTTATCTTTACTGAATTCTTGGCAATATAATCCCGTTGATGCGATTCTTCCACGGGAGCTTCGTGGGGATTGGTCTAGGGATAAGACTTCATGCCTTGTGCCTGTCCATGATGCCAGTTGTTGTAGACAAAGGGATGGACCGATAGAGCATATCGCTGCTTGTTCCATCTTGACGCTGGTCGTCCATCTTCTGCGCGCCTCCAAATCTGATATGCGAGAACTGGACAGAGACAGACGTCTGCGGCCTTCGATTGATCCTGTTCATGAATGGTTGAGTCACACTAGGGAGCTTGCAATGAATGTGGAGGATCGTAACCTCGCCCCATCGCCGGAATTCTTAGCCATTTTATATCATGTTGACTTCGATGCATGGAAGGATCTTGGAAAACGGTACATCGTGGATGACTGGGAAAAATATCTACCTTCACCCGATACGTCATTGGGAGCGTTTCTGAGATATAAAATGGATGGTATACGCACGACTGCCCAGGCATTACGCGCTCTTGCAAAACATGTGGATATGAATGGAGTCAGTTCAGGTCCTCCGCAGAAGGGTCAGTGGCTACTGGATATTCTTGGACCTCGAATGACCGTTGGAGCGGATGCAGGGCCATCGCATTCGCATGACCCTGTCACTGGCAGCACATCCTACTCTGGGGCCACATACTCCGCCGATGCAAACCATGTCGATTCCAACCCTCAGCATGCCGTCGTGCAGCCCTTCATACATGATACAGACGCAGGCAGGAGTGGAACCACGCACTTTCCCATGAATATGGATGCTGTGGTCGACCTTGAACTTGAAGGCACCGACGCAACGCGTCCTCAACCGCAAATATCCGTCACGGAGGCGAGCGACGGGGAAGATCAGCGAGCGGTTGAAGAGTGCGGCCCGCCTGAGGTAGATGACGGCCACATTAAGCGAGAGCTCGAAGAAATCTATGACGCGCCAGCCAGGGAGGAGGTTGCGAAACTCGAGAAGCCGCTGGAGCAGCAGCGATGGAAACCCAGATTCGCCTAGTCCTGAGGCGCGCGAGGGAGATAGCTCGATCGAGTCTCGACCTCCACAAATGCCTCGGGAGTACATCGCGACCGTGAAATCGGAGAGCAAAGACGAAGAGAATCAGCATGAGCAAGAACGTGAGGGAGGGACCATATATATGGACAAGGGCAAAGCGAAAGCGCAAGCGTCCTGAGCGAATTGTGGGCGATTTGTCGTTTAGCGAGTCTGTACGTAGCTAGGGCGGGTCTTCGTATCATACGTGTGCATGCACTTTAACATGGCTTTGAATTCAAGCAAGTAACAGAAGTTGCTCGCGCGAGAGCTGCTTCCAGTCGTGGTCGTGGCACATCAAGAGGTGACGGCGACGCGCGAGTCGCGACTACGGCAAACCGGTCCGAGTCCGACAGCTGGTAAGTCCCCTCACGTGTTGAATTACGCCTTCTTTGTACAGTACAGTTTGACCGCGCGTATTGTCGCATTCACGTCGTGCATGAGACCGAAGTGAAGATACAGAGATACACTACGCGTACAGTCTTACAATGCTTTCACTTCTGTCAGACTATAACTTGACAACACCCTTGATCACATCCGCCGCCCTTTCCGCAAGCGCCACGACGAGCGCTACAGGATGCGCAGCCGGCGGCTCCGGGAACACGCTCGCGTCTACAACGCGCAGACCGGCAACGCCGTGCACCTTAAGATCTGCGCCGACGACACTATCTGTGTCTGACGTGCCGAGTCGTGCGGTCGAAGAAGGATGGAATGCGGCGGCGCCGCGGTGCGCGATGTACTCTGCGAGCTCTTCGTCCGTGAGCTGTATACATCGATCAGTATACGGGCCGTCAAATGGGAGTCCAACTGGCGTACCGTCTCGGGGTCCGCACGTCCAGGCCACCATATCCCCTCGCCCTTCTTCTGCCCCTCCACGTCCCACTTGCCCTCGGCGTCAACCAGGCGCTTACTGAACACGCCCGTGGGAGGGAACTTGAGCGCATCAGCGGGCGCCGCGCGCGCGATGCGGAGGATGAGTCGGAGGGAGCGGACGAGGACGCGCATGTCGTTTGGTGATGAGAAGTATCTGCATGAAACGGTCAGCGAACGATAGACGGGGAGGGGAGGGGAGGAGAGAAGAGGAGACGCTTACTTGGGGTCTATGACTGGTGGCTCGAGCGGGTCTGCAGAACGAAGCGTAATGGTTCCTTCGCTCTCGGGCTTGAGTAGTACTGAAGCCTATGGGTACACATGTCAACACATAGGCGGGGTTTATGTAGGCAGAGAGTCAGCTCACGATAGAGACGCCCTCCTTGCCCCAAGCGCTCGTATTCGCGAAGTCGACAACGACAAGTGGGAACCACGCCAACTCGACATCAGCGCTTCCGGGCGCGTTGTTCGTGATGGACTCCGATGGTGGCGGAAGTTGCAATCTGTACGTGTGCGAATGAGCTCTCGTCATACTTATGAAGGGAAAGAGTGTGCACGTACGCGGGATCGTTAACGTTCACGAACGCAGCGCCGGGCGCGCCGAGCCCGCGCATAACGCCCGTCCCGTCCCATAACCACCGTGCAGCCGCGAGCGCGCCATACCACGGTTTCGCGAGGTAGTCGAGGCTGTATCCGGGTTTCGTCTGTATCATCTATCAGCGCCCATACAGGTGAAGGTGAGAGAGAGAGAGGGACGCGCCTCGAAGATGATAGGTCCACTGGACATATGGTCCATAAAATGCTTTCCCACCGCAGGAAGGTCTTTCACGACCGGTACACCAACCACCTCGAGCTCAGCTTTCGGTCCGAGACCGCTGAGCAGGAGCAGATGTGGCGTGGCGATTGCGCCGGCGCTGAGTATGACCTCTTTCGTCGCGCGCACCCTGAACTTCTTTCCCGGCGCCGAGGTCGAGGATAGCTGCACGCCCACTGCCTTCGGCTCTCCGTCACCTTCCTCGAATAACACCTTTTCTACGTGCGCATTCACCGCTACCTTCAGGTTTGGGCGTGCAAGAACCTCTGGTGTGAGGTATGCGTGTGCCGTACTGTGTCGGCTGCCGTCGGGCGCAACGCTCGCTGCGAATGTGCCAGCACCATATGAGCCCGTGCGGGTGTTCATGTCGGGTGTGAGAGGAACGTGGGCGGCGGAGCATGCTGACAGGATCGCTTCGTGAATTGGCTAGTAGCAGAATCAGCATGTAGTTCAACTGTGGATAGAGGCAAGAAGAAGACATACAGGCGTTTGTGGATACTCGACTCTCCACGGCCCGTCACGTCCATGGTCGCCCGGAGCAGAGGACGCGAAAGACTCGGCTTTGTGTAGGTAGGGTAGGAGCTCATCGTAGCTCCATCCTGGTCCCCACTTGTCGAGATCTTGTGGCGCAGGGTGTTGGTAGATGAGTGCATTGATCCCTCTGTGTACGGACAGTCGAGCGTCAAAAGGGATAATTGAGGGAGGAGGGAAGAAACGCACGTCGATCCGCCGAGCATCTTGCCGCGGTTCAGCACGAAGGCGCGACCCCCCGCGCGGACCTGAGCAACCGTCGTATACGCCCAGTCCACAGCCGTACCGAGCAGGCCGGTCCAGGCGAGCGGGATGCGCGACGCGAAGACCTTCTCGTATCTGCACGGGCGCCACAGCAAGTCAGCATCTCAACGTCAGCATGGGAAGTAGGAACGTTGCGTACGATGGGCCGGCTTCGAGCAGCAGTACGCGCGCATTCGGGTCCTCGCTCAGACGCGCGGCGAGCACGCATCCTGCGGCGCCTGCTCCAACCACAATATAGTCGTACTCGGGTACACCATCTGTATTGTTGAGCGGTGCTTTGGGATCAGACGCGGGTGCGGCGTATTGCGCCGGGTCGTACAGGTACTTCGAAGATGCAGACCCCATGGATAGCAAGAGTAGCAGGAGAAGAAGAGAAACTCTCAAGGAGGTCGATCGAGCATGCTGATATATAGTTCGAGGGACAGGACCTGGCAGAACGCTCGGATCAGCGACGGCGAGGTCGGGCGTGCCGCGTGTGTGGGCTCGAGTCTTCTAGACTACCGGACTAGCGCAGAAGTATATACGTGATACATGCACGCTCATCAGATCACCGTGAAGGGAAAGTACGTATGAGTATATATTTGAAGCGTAGCATGAGAGAGCATGTTGGAGGTTCGGAAGCAACCTTCTTGAGCGGGTTGATGATGCGCGTGTGGCACGGAACGCGAGTTGCCTCTTGCCTTGATGGACGTCGACGGGGTCAAGAACGAGGAGAAGCCTGACCTCGATATCGACAAGGACGATTTTCAGCATGAAGAGGACCCCGATGAGGTGATGACCATCGGGACCGGACAAGGTATATCATATTTTCTTACTTTGCCTGACCACATCTGACGCAATGCTGCAGGTAAAGTCTGGCTGTACGCCCATTTCCCTTGCCACCGCCAGTTCAGTCTCTAACATATGTGTAATCTGCAGGGTAAAAATACCAAAACATATCCTCGAGCGCTGGTCCGCCGTGAACAACCCCGGCGTCGAGCTGGCCAAACTACGAATATACAATGACCCCGAGTCACAAAACCCAAAGATGTTCATCACCGTCCCCGCCGCCAACCCGAACGACCCGCCCGAACTCTTCGCGCTCGACGTGCACGTGCCGGATGCGGCATCCAGCCATACGCAGATGGTCGTCGCCGAGCGGCACGCCGAACAGGCCCCGTCGACTTCGCGCAGACGCATGACCGTCCTCGCGGGCGTCATGCAGCACGAATGCAACATGCGCCCATTATTCTCCGAGGCGTACCGCGCACGCGTACGCGCCGCGACTCGCGCATCTGTGCCCAAGAAACGCATGCGTATATTGCCCACGGCCGGCGACGCGGGCATGAAACTCGCTCGCCTCAGCACTGGCATCGGCGGCGCGCACAATAACAACGCTTTTGCCCATCTCGGCTCGCAGAAGGGCCCCAAGGGAAAGAAGAAAGAGTTCGAGCGTATGGCGCGCGCACCGCGCAACCAGCTCCTCGATATGCTCTTCCAGCTCTTCACCGAGCGCCCGACGTGGGGCGTCAAAGACCTTCGCGCTCGCACGCAGCAGCCCGAAGGTTATTTGAAGGCCGTGCTGGCAGATATCGCGACGCTGCATCGGTCAGGAGAGAAGAACGGGATGTGGGAGTTGAAGGAGCTGTATAGGAACACGGACACCGGGCGGGAAGGTGTCTATAAGATGGAGACGAAGGAGGAAGAAGAGGAAGAAGAAAGCGATGAGGACGAGGATATGGAGGAGGTTGCGTAATGGTGCGCTGTATCGGATGTTTATTCTCTTCATATATGTATATCGCCACCATACTCACCGGCCGTCCAATCACATCCATTTTTCGCAGAATTTCTCATCTCTCGCTCACTTGGTTGCCGAGTGGGACCGCCACATGGATGCTTTCTGAGCGTATAGGTGTGATGGCCGTTTGAACGCCAGAACTCGGCATGTCTGGGTTCGTTGTATCTGTATATGAGTACAGGCATCAACATAGTCAATCTATTGATAAGGTGCTCAAGCCCCTTGACTGAAGGTTTCGACCCTCGTTCCTCATTCGTTGTCCAAATGTTCCATCCTGCTCAGCTGATTCCTATTCATCGGCGCGGGAAGCCAGAGATGGCACGCTTTGACGATGCATGCACGGCACAAGAGAGGTGAAGCTGATTTCTCAGTTGTTTAGATTACATCGTGTTATATGATACCCTCCTTCAATGCCACTTATCCTCTACTCATCTCACGACTCTCAGGCGGGGAAGCAATCACGACCCGCCCCAATCCGATACTAGTGTCCTGAAGTTCAACCTCGGCGCTTCCAGCGCCGGGATGGCGATCGACATCGGGGTCGCCCGAGGGTTCTTCCGACATGGGCGTCTGTTTGGCACAAGTGCCAGTCTCGATAGCCGCGGCAGCTGTAGAATTGTGTACTGCGCGTTGTTGGTGTCCCTCAGTCGATTGATTGCCATTGCGGACATCCGTCAAGTTGACATGTTTCACCAGAGTGCGCAGGATGTCCGCGAAGGAAATGGGAAGGGCCATATGTTGATCTACAGGAGCTGCTAGGAAACGACCCAGATCTGTGTCCGGCGCAGGTATAAACTCCAGATTGCCGCCTGGCCGCGCCCACTCGTCAAGCCCAGCACTGTGCAAGACGGCCAAGAATTCGGGAGATGGCGCCCGAAGCCGGTCGTCGATATTCATCCTGAACGTATCTCTCCATTGTACGAACGGCATGCCATGCTCCCATAGGTCACCGTATTGCTCTACGTGGTGCTGGTACAAGTCCTTTCGGTCCATCTCTGATGCGCGTAAGAGATGCGCGACCATGGTCAGGATGGTGCAAGCGGCTATGTGTATCAACGGGCCCTCCCTGCTCCTGCAACATTGATCATCATGCAAGGGTACTAGACACGACGTTGTGTCCGTGCTCCAATCTGAATCGACATGGCCCACCGAACCGTAGTGCAAGTCGAGACGATTGTACTGCCAGGAGTTTGCAAGAAGGAGGAGTACTCGGGGGACTCCAAGTAGCGCGTGCTTATGGCGGAACCATCCATTCGAGCCTACCTCCAGCCTCTGAGAAAAGTACATTTCTTGGTATCCGGGGATATCGAGCCCGGATGGCCCACCTCCGGAGAGTGCGGAGCCCTGAACCAGCAAGAGCAAGGACCAGCGCAGATGAAACATGCAAAAGCGAGCCTGAAGAGCAAAGCGCTCATCTTTGCGCGCGCCCTGTGGGTCTGCGATCGTGCTGAGCAGAATTGCGAGGTAGTACATCGTGTGAAAGGGCGGATTTCCGCCGATCTCCCACATCCACTTTCTATACGCATGTCGTAGTAGCAAACATGTCAGCTTGAGAGTTGCGATGCGCGTATCGGGATCTGGAGATCCTTCGCCAAGACGACCAATGTCGTCGAGTCTGAGCGCCAGTATTGAATCATTATAAAGAAGATCTATGCATCCCAATCGGGTTTCCCAGTCCCAGAGTTGCGGGCCTAAGATGTCCAAGACGGCCTGGAGTAATGTATTAACATCTGTGACATCTCGCATGAGTAACTGACGGCTGGTGTGTTTCCATATGTACCCGAAGTAAGGGACGGTCAGAGTGCCGCGAATGTCACGGAAATATCTCCGCCCACCAGAGATGATCGCCACGTTCGGCGGAAAGAGGCCTCGTAGGGTGATGTGCTTCAGCCAACAAATCCTGTGTCGACGGGTCGGTATATGCGAAAGGGACCGAAGCATATGTCGAACGGGAGTATAAGCCGCGATGAACCATTGTATTCCCGTACGATAATAAATCTCCGCACCAGCAAAGAAAGGCGCGCGCAACGCATATCGACGGACATGAAGCACAGTTTGGTACACGGCGACCATTGGATATGTCAAAGGGGTTCTGTATGGGCAGCCAGTATCCAGAACTGGCAACATTCCAACGATGAGGTAGGCTGAACCGAAAAGGGCGAGGGCAAATGATGTGCACCATGATACGATGGCATTGATCGGGTAGAGAAATAGGAGAAGACCTGCAGCGAAGAGGACGACAGCCAGATGTACGAGCGACACGATGAGGTTGACGACTTGGTCCATGCCATAACGATCCACACCCATCCGGATGTATACATGATTGAGGGCGCGGCTGGCTATGTTCTCATCCAATGTAACCCGTCGCTTGATATCCTTCACGTAGTCTCGAGACCACTGCTGAACTAGGGTTGCCAAAAGAGCGCAGGCCAGGGCGACTACTAGGCTACAGAACCACAGCGCATTGGCTAGTATGGCAGGAAGTGGGGCATGGAATGGCTCGATTGACGCAGAGACAGCTGTGCTATGGATGGTCGAGTTCGTCGCTTCTACGAGTAGTCGCGAGAGAAGCATCACTGTCTGTTCGCCGGAGTCTGGTGATAGAGTCTTGTAGCTTTCGATCACAAACGCTGCAACCGTCGCGGCAAAGAGACCTGTCTGTGATTGGCACTGTGAGATGTAGACGATATACGTGGCATGAGGATACGCACGAAGGTCAAGATGCTCCCGGTGTTCCCATCCCAGTCCCTGGGACGCGCTTCGTCCTCATCCTTCATAGATCGCAGATACGTCCCCCAGAACTTATCAAGCTTTGTCTTTTCTCTCGCAGCATCATCCTTCTCATCGAGATATCTCGCAAAGAGCTGCTCTAGGGAAGATAATAGATCCTTGTCGTTGTAAGAAGTCGACATCGAAAGAGATGGCGGTGGGAGGCAAGTTGCGCGCAATCAGGATGACGACGCCGTAGACCGAGGCTATCCACTGATCGGCACATGTCACTCTCGTACTGGGGCTTGCACTCGCTTGCACTGATACTCTCCTCTACGCGAAGTCGGCTTTGATCGTTGCGCAGCGCCCTCAAAGTGGCAGCTCTCACCATAGGCATAGGAGCCGGTGAGCTGAAGAGAACTGAATGTAGAGACTAGTAGGGAATGAAGCGATAGATGTCATATGTGGTTGTACGAGGGCATACTACGTACGATGAAAAGCGTGAGTAAATTCTACGGATATTCAAGTTCGTGAAGTTCAAGGTCAAGCCAAGGCAACGATCAGACGCGCGCTTGCACCGGGCCGAATATTTACCGAGCCTTGGCTTGAGTGCTTACTGTAAGAGCTTGGGCGCTTGAGGACTTTAGATCTGGACGACGACCTGCTTCGTCTTGTTGAGGTGTGCGATAGTTGCATCATCAAATCCGAGATGTGCCTTCACGAGGGCGGGCGGAGTGAGCGCAAGCCACTGGGTAAGGCTGATGTCCTGGTAGCGATCTGTGGCATGGCAGGATCATCAGGATAGGCTTCATTCTCGAGCATAAAGGCCACACACCGGTCTTGAAGATCTCCAGGTAGTGCAACGTCTCGTTACCAACGTTTTCAACGTAGTGACCTACGATACTCGGTCAATCAGAGGCCTCGTCTGTATGTCTGGTGGGATTCGCACCGTAAGCAGGGGGTACATAGCCGATATCGCCGGCCTGAAACCGACAATTAGCATTTGTCAGCGAACTTGAAAGACTACATACCTGGAAGTCGTACGTGCGAGAGTTGCTCTGGGCCGCGAAGAGCGTCACCCGAGCTTGACCCGAGCTAGACACTATCAACACGCCGTCACGTGAGTATCCGACACGGGTTCACGCACAGGAAGAAGGCCCATTCGGGCTCCGTGGGGTGCCAATGCAGCTCCCGGATGGCTCCCGGCTCAACCGTAACGTCCGCGGCCGCGATGGCGGTAGAGACCTTAAATGTCGTCGAGTCGACGATCTTGACGGTCCCGCCGCTGAGCGGCGTAGCGGGGAGCTGAGACATCGCAAACGAGTACGGGTTGGGGACTTGACCTGCTGGATCAGATACTGCAGACGCATTGTCCGCGGGAGCCTCTACGAAGTTAAATGTTCATCGGTATCCTTTGCGACTGGTGGACTTCACATACCGGCAGGGAAGATGTACAGTTCCTCCGATGGGATATGGTCGAAGGCTGAGATCGGGAGCTGAAAACTCTTGGAAAGGACCTCCATCGGAATGTGCGCCATAAAATCCGTTAACAAGAAGGTACCATCCTCACTGCGCACGCCATTCAGTATCTCATACATCCAACTGGCAATCACACGCACTTGAAGTCTCCGTCGTCGAAGACCTGATGGCAATCAGCGAACAGTTCGCGTGAGAGGAAGCACATGGCATACCAGGAGGAACTCGCTTCCCTCCGGATCGTCACCCGTGGCTTGCAGCGAATGCGGAATGCCGGGCGGAAAGTACCAGAGGTCACCAGGTCCCTACATCGGTTGAGCATAATCGTGTGGGGAACCATCAACGATACGACGTACGACGTTGGCGAGGTAGTTCCTTCCCTCCTACAGAAATCGGGTCAATTGGGAGGAATCGGAGTTCAGTCGCAGACTTACTGTATCAACGGCAGTGACCTGTGTCGTTCCCTAGTGACACGCAAAATGCAATGAGCAAAGAAGTGCATGATCTATGTGCAGCTACAATCGTACTTTGATCACGTATGCCCACTGCAGTGTCAGGCGGAGATCAGTATAGACATCGGTTGAAAAGATGTCCCACATACCTCGGCAGCTGTGTGCCTGTGGTCAGTTCAAAGGTGTCATTAGTTCATGACGATGCACAACACTGAGAGTAGACGCAACCAGTGCAACTCCCTGTAATCGGAGGTAAGCGAACGCTAACAATAAATCCTTCATTGGGCGACGTACCGAATGGCACCTTTCTCAAGGCGCATGTTCACACCAGCCAGCTCTGAAGTACCCGGAGTAAGTGTCCAATACTTGTCAGAGGCCGGTGCCTTATATAGCACTCACCCGTGGCAAGGGGCATCTGTTCGACTGTGTGAGAAGCACAGATGAGCTTACTGACAGGAGTTAGTGTGACAGTACGTACTATTCTGCTGACGCGCCCAGCCACCCGTTTGCAGCCGATTCCACGAGAGGGTGAACGGCCACTTGGCGTTGGGTCTGCATCGGGGTATGGATGAGTGATGCCAATACTGATAGATGCTCCATGACATACACATCGCCATGGTCTGTCGTCGGAGGCGCGAGCAAGTCGGGATTCTGCTGAGCCAGAGGTATGTTGTTTGGCCCCAAGATATTCGACCCAAGCCCGTTGCGAGTCGGTTCGGGATCGGCAACGCTCGTGTCGTCGACAGGAAAGATTGGCAAGTTGGGGTCCGAGGAAGCGGGCGTAACGGTCTCCCACTCAGGTGGCGCGGCCGCTGTGGACGACACGGGCACACCGGATGCCACCGTAGAGATAGCAGAGGAAGACGGTGAGAGCACCCCCGTCGAAGAACTGGTCGACGAGGCAGTCGCGTTGCGATCTTCTGCAGCAGGCAGGGCTTGTATCATCGTAGCGCAGCATACAAAGATGACCAGGAAGGGGTTGAAGCGAGCCATTATTGCCGAGTTATGCAGCTGTACAGGGCGAAGGAGATAAGAATCTTTGCTTGAAAGTAGGGGCCATATATACGAACCTCGCCTCTGCCTTCAGCGGAGCTCGACGGCCATCCTGGAGCCGGCGGTGGCGGGCGCCGTGAGCACCTAAGTTGAGTGTAGCACTGATAAAAATACTCCCCGCATATACCCGGCTGTCGGAAAAGACGTGGAACTCGAATCAATGTCATGATGTTGAGCGGCGCCTCATCCTTATTGATGGATCGAACGTTCTCTCTCAGGATATCGGTAAGATCGCCAAAGGCTTGAGCAGCACAAGCATCCGCCATGCTTCGCTCGTGACTGGCACGGATTATGGCCTAGCTTTGGCTGGTGTTATTGGGCATCTTCTGATTGTCGCAGGTAGGAGAGCCCTAAATACAGTACAGGATCAGTAAAACATACATGCAATCGATCCGCTGTTCTTACTTGACCGTGGAGCTAACCGGCGATCGTGAGCAATCGGAAGCCCTTGCACGCTTGCAAGACCGCTCAAGGTCCGGGCATCGTCTGCGCCACCCGATGTAATCGGCTTGATACGGAGCCAAGCACAGTGGTATTGGTCTCGAGTTCACATCGCTCGCTCCCGTCCTGTACCGTCCGAGCTTGCAAAGCTGGGCTGCATCCTTCTGTAGACATAAATTAGCGACAAAGTACCAGTTCAATAATAAAAGGCACGGAGAAGGGACTCACGCACGTACAAGTTCGGGTGTGCAACCCATCCGTTTGCGGGAGGTATCGGAACATCACCTGTAGCACACTCGCACAAGTACGGTATTAATCGCAGATGAGTGCATGCATTAGTGGCGCCGGCCGTGATTGGCATCCGAAACCATTGAATCGTGAGTTATGTTTAGTGCATGAAGTATACCTGTCGCGTTCTATTTTTCATGCTTCAATCATAATAGACGCCGTTCTGCATCTGTAATCTCGCTCGGCCAGCGAGCACGGATGCCCTGGAGCCTTTTATTGTGCTCAGAATAGCATAGTGAGCCTAGGGACTTCCACGTGCAAAAGTGGGTGGCGAAACCGCGCGCGCGTTCAGCCGGGACATTCTGAATGCTATTCCTGTAGGAGGCTTCTAAGTCGCATACAGGATTTGATTACCGAGTATGCAATCAACTGCTTCAAAAGTTGACGATCGCTCAAGACTCAAGGGGACAAGGGGGGTCGTCTTGCAAGTAGGTCGCAGTAGGTCGCAGTTGGAGGCAAGTTCGAACTTACGTCACTTCGCCGCCGGCACGGCGCTCTGATGGCTGATCGGCACTCGGACCAGTTTCCCGCGCGCAAGCTTTTCTCCATCCTTGTTCCTTCCTCACCAGCGTTCCCAGCCTTTCTGTTCATGCTGTTTCGCGGGCGATAGACCAACTATGACCACATAAGACGGAGGATCAAAGTGGTCGAAAAGGCAGGGGAAGCTCGATGGCAGTTAGCGAAAGAGTCTGCACATACTTAAGGTTTCATGGAACGTAAGTCGGCATGCTGTTCCTGCTTGTGCCAGACGACCACCGAGGCCGACTGTCGCTTGATGGAGATATCGACCGCAACGAGCGGGGCTCGAGCCACTTCTCGAAGTCTGTTTTGCGCGCAGCAACTCCTCGGCATGGAGGACATGCACCGCACGTCGCCACCTTTCAGCCGGCGCTTGCGCCTTATAGAGACCGTCTCCCGCTCACCCCGTCCCCCTCTTCGAGACCTCTCGCTCTTTCCCGCTCGCTGTTGTTGCAGCCTGCTCGTCACTCTTTTCTTCTCATACTCGGTAAACTCCGGTCCGCTTCTACTGTTGTGGTCGCAACGATCCGCGTGTAAACGACAAGGCGCGAGCGGCCTTTTGTTCTCCGGGGTTCATCTCGCACGGGTCCAGCACTCCTTCCCTCCTTTATCGCGCACCCCATCTCGCCTCGCGTCTCGCACTCCGTACACGCATCCCTCCGTGCTGGCACCGGGCCTTTACCTTCACACTCCTTCCTAGAGAAGCCTTCCTTTATTCCTACTGTCTTCTTCGCCGGCGCACTTCGCTCCCACTTCAATCCACCACCCAAGATGCTGGCCACTCTCTTCTCACTACTTTCTGCAATTGCGCTTGTGCGCGGTGGCGCATATAGTATCGAGGACACCTACGATGGCTCGTCCGTTTTCGACAAATTTGACTTCTTCACGGGCAATGACCCTACCAATGGTGCGCAGCCTACGAATGTCGGCCTTCCAACGTGATCGCTGACAAGCTTGCAGGATATGTGTACGTGCTTCATGGCCCTACCCATGAATATCCCCCTCATCCCATCTCATACTCTCTCCGTGTCAGTGCTGAAGCTGACTATAATCACAGAAACTACGTATCCAAGTCAACGGCTCAGAACAACGACCTCGTTCAAGTCAGCGGCTCAAACTTCACTCTGCGCGCAGACGATCAGAGTGTGCCCTCTGCAACGGCGCGCGGTCGAGATAGCGTGCGCATCTCCAGCCAGAAGTCGTACTCCACACATGTCAGCATGTGCGTGCTTCCTCCATTCCTTCCTTTTCCCTTGGCAACCTGGCCACCGCTTTGCATTCCTCAACACCTTGCATCGCAAGAAGCTGATAAGCGTGTCTAGATACAATGTCGATCACATGCCTAAGGGATGTGGTACCTGGCCAGCGATCTGGGAAGTTGGTCAGTCGTAACTTATACTCGATGGCAGGTTTTCATCACTGAGCATCGTGTACAGGGTCCAACTGGCCCAACAACGGCGAGATCGATATCGTTGAGGGTTTGTGGAACTCGTCCACTCCGTCTCTTCGATCGACTGATCATCATTACGATAGGCGTCAACCTGGCTACCCACAATACGGTTTCCCTTCACACAGGAGCGGGATGCACCGTGTCCGGGAACCGCAACGGCATCATGAAGGGCACCGCGCTCAGCAACAACTGCGTCTCCGGACCCGATGGCAATACTGGGTGCAACGTCGAGCTTGAGAGCGATGACCACACCTTCGGCCATCCTTTCAATGCCAACGGCGGCGGTATCTACGCGATGGAGCGTGATAGCGCTGGGATCAAGGTTTGGTTCTGGGCCAGGGTACGCATCTCCCCGTCCCTTCAGATTGTCATGGTGGGTCTGACGGTATATGCGCAGAACGACACGAAGGTTCCGGACGAGGTCATCAATGGCGCCGATAACATCGACACCAGCACCTGGGGACAACCCCACGCGAACTTCCCGTCGACAGACTGCGATATCAACGAGCACTTCGGCCAGCATAACATCGTCATCAACCTTACCTTTTGTGAGCGCCTGATGAACCGCCGTTCGTATCTGTCAAGCTGACCACTACTGCAGGCGGTGATCTTGCTGGTAGCCAATATGCCTCTTCTGGATGCCCGAGCACCTGTAACGGTGCGTTCTAATCCATGCCCGTCTGATCTTCTGCTGATGTGTCTGGCAGCCTTCGTACAGAACAACCCGGACGAGTTCAGCTGGGCATACTTCGCCTTCATGTGGATCAAAGTGTACTCGTAGACGTATACGTCCACTGTTGTTGCCTCACTTCGTGTTTCGCTCGGCTGGTTCCACATTTCTACTGGATGCACGGGTCCTTGTCACCGGGTCTTTGGGCAGCGGATTGTAATTGTATTTGTAGATGCTCACGACCCAGAGTCACTGGCTGGCTCAAGCACTTACGCTCTTGACGAGCTTTCATCGACCCGACACTGTATAACATACGCATACATACCCGGAAATAGACATCATGTAAGCTTTTGGCTTCGCAAGTGGCACCCCGCTATCGGTGAAGCGGTTCAAGTGAGTAAGAGCATTAACACATGTATATATTGTATAGAGCAAATTCCGAGGATACAGTAACAGAGATAGTCTCAAGCGGACGTGGGTATGACAAGCTTAGAGAGCCGAGTAATATGGAGCAGGTCGTGCTATATGCTTTGGTTACGTGCGTTTACGCTTTCCAGCACCTGGCTGGGTCTTCGAGGCCCCGCCCCGGTTCTCGCGCTGGCTGTCTACGAGCTTCTGGAACTTATTGTCGGATACTAAGTGTCTGCCAGATATGTCGGGTGAGTTGAGAGCTGTCGAACCTGACCAGCGTTTTGAACGCTTACGATTGCCCGGAGAACAGCTTGGGATCCAGTTTTCCCTGAAACTCGTTGCTCGTGTGGACGTCTAAGCCCCTGCGTGCGGCGTTGGCTTGCGCCTGTGCGATTGAGCACCTACCGCGCTGATTAGTCCAGTACTCACCCGCAGTCGGCCGCATATGAACGTACCGAGTGCTGACCATGAGATCCTTCATGCCATCGTAGTTCTGCGACTCGAGGTGAAGGTAGCCAGACATGATCCACTTGATGTACTCGTCCGAAGTGATCTTGCCCTCCTCAAGGAGTTGCGCAGCGAAAGCCATGGTTGAGAAGGAGAATGTAAACGTCGAGGGAGCGTGAAGTTGGCGAGGAGTGATGGAGAGGTAGTGAGTTGTCAGTTGTCGCCGCGATGAGATATATATACCCGGCCAGCCCGAGTCCAGGAGTGCGGTGGTTGACCGACAAGTGGCAACAGTCCACCCATTGTTCAATGCCGTGCCACAGACCATTGGCGCTGGTTAGTCCACAATTTCATAAGCGGGGCCTGAAGGGACCTATTGAGCAAGTATCTTGACCATGAAGAACCACAGGGGACCACGGTTTTGTTCACGAGTGGCGAGAACGACCACAGCGGCGGCGTGAAACGATGTTCTGTCATCGGCGGAACGGAGATGAGTATGACAGGGAGCTCGACTTGCAAAGAGCGGTTTAGGATCATTCCATTACTGTGTACAGATACGGGTCTAAGGGGACGTTGACTTGAATTGTCAAAATGCATCGCGAAGTAGCTGAGCGGAACGGTCCAATATGCAAGGAAAGCGGTCACGAAGACTCGCGCAGGGAAAAAATTGACACGACAGGCCAAGAGTAGTCTGAATCGAGTTACGCGCCTTCGATCCTAAGGTCAAGAGCGCGCGCCGCGAAGTGCACTCAAGGGAACATCCGGCAGTACACCTCGTAGACGAATTCGAGGGACAAACCCAGACACCCGGTCCTCGCGACGCGTTCCAACCCGCGCTGGGCAAGCCCAGAACGCTTATGCCATCCAGGTTTCCCCGAAGGGACACGAGGCGGCGCGTCCCTCACTCTCGCCCGAAGGCGAGAGGTCTCCGGGTGGTGTTTCGCGGGATATTGCTGGTACGTCGCGCCGTGGGTTACCACGGGGCTCTGCTAGAGCCGATCGAGGAGGACCAACTCTCAGACCTTAGCCCGCTCGCGAAATAGACGCCGCGGGAAGGCGTCTGTACGGGGCGAGCCTCGCGGCTTTCGACCTGTCGTGGTGGTTTGTTGGAGGAAATTTGCGACGCGTATACGAGTCAACTTCGGTTCGAAACACGGTCACATGTGTTGCAAAGACGCGCGACGCGAGTCAGTTGCCATTTTGCGGAGGGATATCCTATCGTGTATTGCCATATATTACAACACGTCTGATATCGCATTAGCTGATGTTCGTAGAAGTACATGGTAGCGAGGCGAGGATCGAGGAGGTACGTATAATAAGGACTCTGAGCGCGTGTTGAACTAGCTATAAGAAAGCAAGAAAAGCGAGGCGATGAGAGAGACAGCGACGATGAGAAAAAAGTACGACATGATTGCGCATGAGTTACATGAGGTTCCCAGGGGGGGTGAAGTAAATTAGTACATCATATTCTGTTGATTTGACTGTGAAGGGGCGCCTTGGGGAACAGGACCGTTGATGTTAGAAGGAGCTATCCGCAACATGTTTGATACGTAGTGGTCCCAGTCCTCAGACCTAAGCTGAGTAAGCAAAGGTATAACTGAGGCTACTGTACAATCCCAGTACTCACGAGTATGCGCTCGGCATGGACGACCACATTGAGACGAGATCGCTATCGACCCCAAGATGCCCGTCGTGTGCGACCATTGGCGCGAAGAACTGCTGGATCTCGTCCGGATTTGGTGCCGGAACGCCCGGGAAGGAGGAAGGGCCACGATAGCTGGGGGTTGGTGGTGGAGGAACATCGATGCCGAACATCGAATCGGTGTACATGTTTGATGAGAGTCCGAGATGAGTGGCGGGAGAAGACTGAATGGACGACGGCGACGGTGTATCGGCTCCCGGAATGATCCCTCCGAGGGTGCCTCCAAACATCTTGTACAGTTCCTCTGCACCTTGTTGCGATACCTGCGGTGCGGGGGCATTGGCGGTGTAAGGTTGTGACGCTTTGCGGGCCGGTATATATCCCCACTCGACATTGGGGGTGTTCGTCGGCTGCGGGTTGAGGGATTGATACTGAGCATACGCGTTCCCGGCAGCCGCCAGAGGATCATTCACGCCCATAGCAGCGTCGGCTGAGGTGCCTGAGAAGAGACTCGCCGTTGCGTCCTCATTTTGAAGTGGTGGGCCGAATGTTGACACATTATCGAGATTGCTGGTGCAGCGTGCGATTGTCTGGCTGAGAGAGGGATGATGACGCGCGCTTAACGGGACGGTGGAGCGAGCGAAGCCTGAAGAAGGGGGGAACTGTCGAGCGGGTTGCGGTGCAGGCTCCTCTTCCGTGTCGGTGTCGGGGTGCGCTCTCTTCGTGGACGCGGATGGCATAGGCCCATTCTGACACGGCCAATCGCGAACTGTAGAGAGCGTGATGAGCATGTCCTTGAAGCGGCCCGACAACGGCCATCTATCCAACGTCAGCCACCAGTCGCATGATAGAGAAGTACGAAATGGCGTACTTGTGTTCGCCTGCAGCCAGAAAGTCGATCACGACTTGGACATCCTTCAACTCCTTCGCCACGTCGACCTGTATACCGGCACGCTTGGCGAGCCATATCCGCAAGAGTAGAACGATCGACGCTTGGAAACCCGGAATCTGTGAGTAGAGAGTAAGCTTAGAGTACAGGACGGAGAATGTAGCCGGATGTCACGTACGAGCATGTTCATCATCATGACACGAGGAATGCGGCGCGAGTGCGCTTCTAGCACATGAATGCACGCCCGGGCCGAGTTAGCGCATATAGTCAGACTGGGATACGATATTGACGACTCCTTGCCCGACGACGGGATGAACGGCCGGTGGATGGTCATCTGGACGAGGTGATACGCGGCATGAAGGGCAACCGTCTGGAAGAAGTGTGTCTCATTTGTGCGATCTGGGTCCCAGCGCAGATGATCCGGTAATGCGTCGACCCAGCGATTCAAAGCAGAGTCGAGCTCGGAGACGACACGCTTTTCCCACTCTTGTTCGCCGATCTTGGAAATGACCTTGTGCTTCTCGAGGGAGTACTGCGTCGCATTAGTATACCCCCAAGTCTGATGAATGGTCAACTTACAATGGTGCGCAAGGCGTGGGAATGAATGAGCTGCAACTTGATCCAAGCGATGAAGAACGCTACGTCGGAGGGCTTGCCCTCGGGCTGCTTGAACGCCTTCTCGGAATCCGAATTGCACCAGTACTCGTCGTCGCAGTCCAGAGGGAACTCGACGTCAAAACTATCGAGGGAAATGGCACACGAGCGTCCCAAGAAAGAACTAAACCAGATGTCCAGAGTGACCAGCATCCAGAAGGCTCGCTTCCACAGCTCGCTCTCCACGCTATGGTGAGAGTATGTCTTTCGTCGGTGGGCACCGACATCTTGGGCCATCCTGATCCCGATTCCTGCCATGGTCCAACACGCTTGTGGAGGCGACATGCCAGCAAGGAAGATGACAGATAACTATGCAAATGTGAGCAAAAAGGCGCCTACTCGTGGTGGTGAGCGACTTACGGCCATACATTGGAGATCGTGCAAGGTCGGATCAGCAAGAGCAACGTTGCGTACGAGTTGCACTTGATTGAACCACAACCATCCAGCTGAATGGGGATGCGCCGGCTTATCTGGGTGATTGAGGAAGACACGGGGGTCGTCCACGAAGCGCGCCCCTAACGCGCAGACGAGCAGAACGACGCAACCGAACCCTTCCTCACGGAGATGCTTCCCCTCCGCAACATGGGCTTCAAATGTCTGCCGATGCAATACCGGACATAGCTTGTGCGAGAGCCTGAAGAACTCCGCTATGAGCTTCGCCATGAGGTCCGCGTCCGGGAACACGAATGGCGACTTCTGCTCTTGCGAAAAACGCGTCCGTTCCCACTGACAGAACAAGTCAGAACGGTACATCACGTCGATGCAACCTGAAACAACGACATACGGGATGGAGCTTCCAGAAATCCGGGCGCTTCTGGGCGTTTACCATGACCTCGTGCATGATATCCGGATTGCTCCCAGCAACTTCCGACTTCAAGTTAAGCGCCGTGCGGACCAGACGTAGACTACTACTCCGTCCGTAGTATCGCGTGAGAGGGCCGGTGATGTTCAGCTCGCGCAGCTTGCGGACCAACTCGTGGAAACCAGGTGATGTCCCCTCCTCGTCGCTCTCAAGGGGTTCTGGAGATGGAACAAATTGCTCGTCGTGCGTGTCGACGTCGACGGACTCGTCGAAGAGCACGTGAGGGAAACGACTTGTGTCGGAAGAGGCACTGGCGCTGCGCTGGGCCTGAACACCCCATGTTGCCGAATTGGGCGGCGCGGATACATCGCCATCGAGTTCTCTTGAGAAGTCTGTATTGGGGTGCAGCTGCGCGGGGCAGTTGAGATATATTCGCGAACAAAGTCACGAGCACAAGCGCACCTTGGTCAAAAGGCTCTCCATCCTCTCAAGCCGTTGTTCCAAAGCGTCAACATATCTGACAGGAAACGTCAGAAGACATAGGGGACGCGAAACACAATTCGTACTTCTTTTGCGCAGGTTGTCGTTTTTGCTGTAAGGAGGTGTGAGTTCAAAACCTACAAGGCGAAACCACAGGAGCTGCGGACGAACCTTGGTACCGGGCGTGAATATACATTCTGCGTCTGCAGCCATACAGTGCGAGCATTTCGAGCCTGGCGTAGGACTGCCGTCGCATCGGATTTTCTTTAGCCTACAGCGGTCGCAAGCTCGTACCTAGTGGGTTTCTTGTCAGCCGTCGAACCTATGATGGCCGACGGACAAAGCACTGCGCACGGTCTGAATACGGCGTTTCTTGACCTGCGGTTGCTGGGCGGGAGCGTGCTCCAGTTCAACAGCAGTGTGCTCGTTCTCGTCACCGGAGGACATGTTGGCGGGTTCAGAGGTGCGATTAAGCTTGCGGCGGCCAAGTGGCCCCTGTATATAGATAACTGATGTGTTGCGAGATGCCGACGTCACGACTGCCGTTTTCCCGTTCAAGTTCGTTTCTTTTCGAGCCTCCATCACCGCGCTACTTCGACCCACCTCAAACCCGCCATCTTGTGGCATAGTCCATCCAAAATATGCTCGTACCATACAGCTATACTCTGCTCGATTATTTTCTTCAAGAACTGCTGACTACGGCACATCGAGTCATGCTTCCTAAGCCTGTGGGGTTCGGGAAAGATCGCGCGTCGCGGCGGCAAAATAGGCCAGTCAACTGCCTCACCAGTCAGCGCTCTCCGGCTATCCGCGTGTCGCCGCGCCGGCTGTGGGTCAGTCAAATCGCACACAAGCCGCACTTGCCCGATTTGCAGTAGGATTCGGCCGTCTTACCGAAGAAGACATGATCGCCTGATCTCGCAGCTGTATATCAGTACTGGTGATCAATAGTCCAAACGGAGCCTGCGAGCTTGTTGAGTCTACCCCGTGTTGCCCGCCCACAGAACACAGGCGCCATGCTCAGGCGCTCATGCACTCACGTCATAGTGGCAGCGCATAAAGCAAGATAAACCAGACTTGAAGCTTGACATAGCGCGTGCTCCTCATGTCGGCTTTCGTATCCGACACCTTGCGTCGCGCAAAACCTTTGTGGATGAGACCCTGAAGGCGGGGAGCGCAGCGACCAGTCATCGGCCAAGCTGCTATAATGCACGCTGGTCATTTATGGGCGCTGATATGTAGATGCATAGCTAGCCGATCGTCGCTTCGTGGGTGGTCGAAGAATCGTCTCACCTCGCCCACGCTGCTCCGTTGATTCTCGCGCAGCTCCGCCCACTACTACGGCCCTCTTCAGCGTTCAATACGCTCAAGCTATTCATCTTGATCCAGCAATGTTACGCCTTTTCTCCTCACTCGCACCCCTATGCCCTCGAGATCCAGACCGGTTTGGGGAAGTCATACCGTGGCACACACGACTGACATTGGACCTTGCAAGCAAGAGCGCATGACGATTCCACAATTGGAAGCCATTCCCCTCTGTTCCCCTTCTCGATGAGAAACCAGCTCTCTTTCCCCCGTCTCACGTTACGGTTGGTAGGTTCTTCCTGCTTCCTGAAGGGAGACGGCGCGCACTGTAAACTTTCTCGATGAATTCGGAGGCATCTGCACGCCCATTCGCTGCTCACGAAGCTTCCTGCCTGCGATTCTCTCTCTCAGCGGAGGGAGTTAATTAAGGTGTACTGAGAGACTCGTGTGCGGGGTAGGCTATATAACCCTACTACGCCTACGGTGCAGTGGCTTACGCGCGAATTCCCGCACACAATGTCCTCGCCGTCAACGTCTGCGCCCTTGGAACAGCCCGTTTCCGAGGCGCTGCTGCTCGTGTAAGTTGTGAACTGGCCCTGAATGCGAACATCAACGGCTAACTACACATCATTGATAGACTCGGTCCCGTGGTGAGTAGTCAAGACGCTCCGCAGAGCCCGAGAACCAACAAACGCCCAGTTCATCGGGACACTGTTCAGCTGGCTTCTGTACGGTGTTTCATGCGTACAACTATGTACGTACTTCCGTACACCCGCAGCTCGACCATCGCGCTGACAGTCACTTATAGATCTCTACCATGTATCAACGTACAATGACGCCTCATGGATTCGCTCTCTGGGTAAGAAGCGGCTCTGTGACGAACGTCAGGCTTCTGCTGATAAGCGCTTTCAGTATATGTGATCTTTCTTCTAGACACATATCACACTGTCGTCGCTGCTTTCATGGGCTGGAACTTCTTGTGTTCTGGCTGGGGCCGTCCGTCCGCTCTGGTATACCCCGGATGGACCTTTGTGTCCATTCCGATCATCTCTGGGATCGGTGAGCGAGGCGAAATATTGAATGCCGATCGGCAAAACTAATGACTATGCCAGTTGCTGCTCTGGTTCAGATCTTCTACGCGTATGATACTGTACAACATGAACCTCGAGAGCTTTTTTCTGACTTGTCATCCGACAGATGGAGGATCCACATTTTGCGCGGCTGGCGCATGTTGCCTTTGCTCATCATCGCGGTGCGCTCTCAAGGGACGTGACATTGCCTTCGAGACCTGATCCCGGTTACGTAGCTCGCTCTCCTACAAGCAGCTGGCGGGATCTCGACGGGAATTGGGGTAACCTCGCCTGCATCCTGAAGTCATAGAAGCGAACTCACGAGACTCACAGGTTGTACCATTCACCAATGTTTCCCAGATTCATTTACTCGAGTCCAGGATTGATGTATGTGCTCCCGCAGTTACTCCTCATGGTGTAGTCCTAACCTTGTCATATAGGTATGGCTTGCCGGAAGTGCCACAGTGGATGTTGTGCGTGGCTCTTGATGCTCTTCAGTTTATCCTCGCGGACTAACGGTTGAGCGCTGCAGATTATCTCAGTCTCTATGGTCTACATCGTATGCCTCTCGCTCACTCTAGGAGAGCCAACCCTTATCCTTCTTCACAGCTCTTCACGGCTCGCCAAAGCTCGATGATCTCGCTGCACGGCGAGCGGATCATCAATAGGCTCATCCGACTCTCCGTCGAGACGGGAATCGCGACTACGACAACAGCCGTATTGGAGCTAGGCATGTTCTTCTGGACCCCAAACGCGAACTTCTACGTGCTTCTGTAAGTGTATTGTGTGTACTTAGTCACCGAATGAGGCGCTTACATCGACTTCGATCAGCTCTCTCATCCTCTGCAAAGGTAAATCCGAACCGGTCCGGACCTCACGTCGTCGTTGAATCACCGTCTCCAGTGTACTCCAACGCACTCATGACCTCGCTCAACTCCCGTGCACTTCTCAAGCGCTCTCGAGGCTCCTTAGGTCCCGAATCAACCTCAACGTTCACCAACTCGGGCGCTTCGGCGACATTCGGCGGTACGCGGCGGCACGTCGAGGCAATCTCGCTCCCGCCTATATCTATGCCCGTCGTGCACGTCTCTTCTGAGACTGAGGTGTTCAGGAACTCGGCTGATAAGGTACGCGATTCCACAAGTGAGCGCCCGTACTGTACCGACGGAACTGCAGCCGCCGGGTAGCCTGAAGGCTATCTCCGAGTACGACTCGATCGAGATGGTCGAAGAGGTAACCTTCTCGCATGCCGACCACGTAGCCACAGCTGTGTGATACCCAATCCTGGACGTTTCATTCTCTTGTGGGGTCTCTTTCTGTACAGGTGTACTCGCATAGGACTCTTTCCGTCACAATCCAGGGCTAATAGCGAATGATAACGATGTTCATAAAGAGAGTCGTGGATAAACAAATAAAAGCTACTACTCTACACTAAGTCTACACAAAAACACGCGTGATCCACCCAATAATGTATATCCATGAACTTACTACTTCGGCAGAGGGACAGCGGCCGCAGCTGTGCGGTCGCGCACCCCCTTGAGGAACTGTACAAGGTCGGTACCACCGGTACCCTTCAGCGGCTGCTTCTCGGGAACGGCATCGGTGCGGCCCTCAGCAAGAGCTGCCTGCTCCGCAAGCGCGGCTTGACGCTCACGCTCACGGCGCGCAGGGCCCATGATGTAGAGAGCCACAATGCGCATGTGGCCGTCGCGGAAGCGCTTCATAGCACCGACAGCGGCGTTGTATGCCTCAGCGAGTGCAGGCTCGCGCTCAGTCCAGTCATCGACGAGCGCACGCAGAGGACGAGGTGCAGCAGCAAGGTGACGCAGGAACGCGCGGTGATGGCGCGGCATGTACGTCTGCATGCGGTCGAGGAAGGTAGGGCCTGACTTGCGGTCACCGGCACCGGCACCGTGCGAGTAGTCCGATACGCCGAGGAAGACGTCCAGCGCGTGCACGAGGGAGCTTTGTCCTGCGCTGGGGCCCGAAAGTTCCTTCGGCTGATCCTCGGGCGCAACACCCTCGAAGACCCACTTGCGTCCGCTGGGTGACGAGTCCTGGCCCATGAACCACGGACGAATGTCGTGGTAGAAGGCCTCGGGGTCGCAGCCCTCGCGTACGGCCAACAACTGAGCGGCGAGCACATCGATGTGACCTGCCAACGCGTTCAAGTAGCGCACAATACGCCGGCGCGCGAGAGCATCCCCGACGAACAGCTCGTCCATCGTGGCGCGCATAGCCTCCAGGGCAGGAACACCCGCGAGCTCGCAACGCGCTGATGACAGGTAGAACTCCTCCTCGTCCTTTGAACCAGTGAACAGCGTGACGCAGCTGATGTTATCGATCTTCGGCATGTTCACGTCGTCTTGGTCTTCCTCTTCGGGAAGAGGGGAAGAGAGTGGCGTGAAGTACGCCGCCGAGAACGGAGTCTGAGGCGCCGCAGTCGGGAACGGCGTGCGTGAGAAGAACGCCGAGCCAGGCGACATGGGCAGCAGGTAGTCCGATGCAGGCGGTGTCGTAGGCTTCGGGGCCGGGTTCTTCAGTCTCCAGTTGTAGAGCACATCGTCGGAATATGTCAATACGACGGGCAGTTGCAGCTGGGAAGAAATCGCGACGAGTGGCACAGCAATCGGCGATGGGATGATGATGTCGGACTGCGCGAGCTCGGGCGGCGGCGGTGGCTGCGACTGGATGTAGAAGTGCATCGTCCATGCCAGTACACAGTGCGCCCTACGGAGGTGCACCTCGGAAGCGTAGAGGCTTTCAGGCGAGATTACGGGCGTCTATGGAAGATCGGAGATAACCGATGATCAGTAAGGTACTCTAAACTCCGGACGTGAGCGAGAGCGAGACCGGGGCCAGAGCAGGACCATCATCTTGCTCAGCAATTGCGTAGGCCTCGCTCATCGCTCTGTGGGTCGTACTCACCGAGCGTACCCATGCGCGCCATGCCTCAGACTCGTCCCGGTCCTCTTGAGTGAGGTCCGTCCGACGGCCAAGCTTTAGGCGCTTCTCCTGCGCCTCATCCAAAAGCTTCTCCCAAATCTCGTATTCGCCTGACAGCCGTGAGATCGGCTGGTCAAATGGCATGAAGCCTGTCCGGTTATCGACATCGAAGTCGTGGGCGTTCAGGGTCGCGGTATCAACCGTTCCAGCCGGCTTGGCGGACGCCGCAGAACGCGGCTGCGACAAGAAATGGCTTGAAGGCAGAGGCGACATTGGGAGAACGGGAGAGTCGGGGGAGATCATGACGGGCGGAGGGACCATGTTGAATTCGTGACGGAGAGTAGAAATAGACAGAAAACGAATTACTCAGAAAAATGAAGAAAAGGGGCGACGAAAAAGGTTGAAGAAAAGTTGAAAGAAATGGCGCCGGGCAAGGTTGCATCGAAACCGTGATGAGCCCTCTATATACCGCATCGTTCGCCGCCATCACAGACACCATCTCCGGCCGCCAACAGCCCGACTGGTTTCATCTCTGGCAAACCTGACGAGGAGCGTGGCGTGATGGTACCCCTGCTCTCATTCAACATGCTTCACCGCCCTGTCGCGATGCGCGATTCCCGAGCGCGATTTCCCCGCATATATCAAGAGGCTGTGGTCCTCGAAGATCCCCGCGAGGCAATCCATGTTAGAGAGATGGTTGTCGGCGAACAAGGCGTGCGTTGAATGTGCTGATGTGATCAGAATTCGTAGTGCATGCGCGCCCGACAGGCGTAGGCATTAGTGAGGTTCTTCCCGAACATCCATGTCCTATGCGACCTTCGTACGAGTGCTCGTGTCTATGCTGGCTCGATGCAAACGCGTGCGCGGTGCACTTAACGTGCACCAAATAACATGCGACTCCGCTCGGGCTCAAGGGGAGCGAGCCATGCACAGGCCGTACGCTGTGTACTATCCCGCGTATGATGATGGGCGTTGTATATGGGCGCCTAAGTGTTGTACACCGCCGGCCAATTTTTCCAACCTCTGAAGCACCTGGCTAGCTGCTACCAGCTCTTTTCATGGTCTATGAAGCCTGAAGCCCTCCCGTGCCACAATTGGCCCTCGGCTTTGCTCCCTATCGCTCCAGGGCAGATAGTGATAGGTCACGAGATCGCGCCTACCTCGACAGGCACGTTCTTGACGGCGCATATGGTTCCTCGCTTTCGAACCCTCACCACCACCAGCTCACGAGAGCCTGCGCCTCCAGCTTCTTCTGATGTTATTAGACGAGAAGCATGCAGCGCATGCAAGCAAAAGCCGTGGCCTTGGCGATCCGAGCCTACTTATACCACCACATGTAGCAGCCGCGCGCTTGACCTCCCGCTCTCGACTGTGCGCCAGAAAGAACGCGGCGGTCATCATGGTTGTTGCTCTATTTTCGCTTGCGCTTGCGGGCGCGAGCCTTCTGGGTGGGGTATATGGATACCGCATTCCTGCGCGCATCTCCCGGCAGGCTGCAGACACGTACACAAACCGTACGCCCTCGCTCATCATCTAGGATACCGGGTCCGAGCCTCATATATCGCGCAGCGATCATTCCGGGCAACTGGGCCGATCCATGGGTCTTTCAGTGGAACGACATGTACTATCTAGTACCGACGAGTGGTTCGGCGGATGTCATTGTCATCCCTTCAAAGACGTTGGACAGCTTTGACGCGTCAGCTGGTACAGTCGTTTGGAGTACCAACTGGACCGGCAACTTCTGGGCACCTGAACTGCACCAAATTGATGGAGAGTTTTACATCTACGGGGCATCGCAAGATGGCGACCTAGACTCGGATCGCAGGTGAGTTCGCGTTTGAGATTAGCTGTGGCGTAGGCGCTTAAGACCTTTGCAGGACGCACGTTTTGAAGGGCACTGACCCCAATGACCCGACTGCTCCATTCGAAGATTTAGGCGTGATCTCGACGCCTGACCTCAACTACATGATCGACGTCGGTACCAATGCATCTTCGGATGAACGTACGCTGATCCTTCGTGATAGTCAACTGTGCTTCAGAACTACAATGGCAAGAACTACATGATTTGGAGCGGCAAGGAGTCTACTGAAGCAGATACTGTTCAGTACCTGTGCGTGTCCAATGATGCGTTCATCCCGGCCGGATCTTAACTGATGGTCTCAGTTACATCACGGAGATGTCGAGTCCAACGACTTTGGTGGGCGAGCGAACAATGATACACTCGCCTTACTGGCCGGATGGATCGCGAAAGGACTGGCAATGGGTACGTTGGGGCCAATCTGATTATCGGCGCGCTCTTGACCCTGGATGTGCACGCCGCGCAGTCACCCTCTAGCACCGACTACGGCGTAAATGAAGGTCCTGAGATCCTGCAACATGGTGACAAGACGTTCGTCGTGTACTCTGCCTGTGGCTCTTGGGATGCTTGCTACTCATTGTGAGTAACACTATGCATCTTCAAAGCATGATGTAGCTGACACGACCATCTCAAGAGCGATTATGGGTCTCAACGGAACGGATCTCGACCCACTCGACCCGAATGCTTGGTGGGCAAAAGATGATGGCCCAGTCTTCACGCAAGACGACGTGACCGTCGGCACTGGGCACGCTTCCTTCCCTGTTGACGCTGTGAGCCTTATATTACGCTATTCAAAAGCAACTTGACTGATACATTATAGGATGGCGTACCGTATGTGACGTTCCACGGCTGGAATGCCACAGCGTCTGCGGGATGGGGTTCGCGAACTGTCTACACGCAGTATGTGCTTCTTCAGCACAAGTCTGGCAATATATGAAGTGACCATTCGCAGAGCCTTTACCTTCAATGATGATGACACGCCCAACTTCGGCCAGCCCGGTAAGAGCTTTTACGCGCGTGTCAATCATGATGCCATATCTGATCGTTTCACAGTCGGCGCCGGTGTAGCATTGCCGGCCGCTGCTGGCTACGCATAGCGTGTGGCAATAGCTTGCACAGGCATCGAGCGCAGTGCAAAGAGGCAAATACACATGTATAAAGGATGCCCAGATGTTGTACAACATAATCTTACACAGACAGGGACTCTATGAGGCGTGACTACAAATACACCGCGAAGCCTCGCGGAAGGATGCGCTAACAACACATTGTGAGGGAACCATTGAAAAAGAAGAAAGGTCGTGAAGGGTCGTGAGGTCTACCGATGACGAGGTCGGCGTCTAGTTATTGGCGCGGAAGAAGCGCGAGTTGACACGAGTTGCGGCCTTGTCGTCCTTCGACTCGGCCTTCGATGCGGTCTTGTCGGAGCTGGTGCTCTCGGTGCTGGTGGCTTTGTGGGCAGAAGCGCTCTTGGTCTTCACCGCCGTAGCTGACGGCTTGGTCGCGGTTGCGGCGATAGTCGTGTTCGAAGGCTTCTTGGGTCCGTCGCCGTTCGCGGTGAGAATCGACTTGATCTTCTGGTGGTAGTTGCCGTTTGCTACCGCCTCGCTGTTCGTCGGGGTGAGACTCGCCGACAGGTATCGATGTGAGCGAACGAACCTGACATCCCACAGCATCACACCGCCCATGCTAGAAGAGGAGTCTTGCGCGGCCGTGGCGAAGTTGCCCAGCGTATTGGGTCCTATGATCGGCGTAAGCAGTGCTTCGGTGCCATTAGATACAGCCAACTACTAACCGACGTATCCTGTACCAGCGGCCTTGGAGCTGGCCGGAGCACCGATGAAGATCTTGATGTCCTTGTTGTCGCTACCCGACTTGGCCCATGATCTGCGTGGCACGGTGAGTATTTCTGCCGCATTCGTGAGACTACGCCACTCACGCCCACGTGTCGAAGTTGTAGTTGTTTGGCTCCGAAAGCTCGCAGAACTATGAGGCGGTCAGCATACATGGTACACGCCACAAGATGCACTCCCGTACGTTGTTGTAGAACTACAGAATCACGTGAGCTAGTGTGGAATGGTACAAGAGGATCGGACGCACCTGAACGAAGACGGCATCGAAGAGAGATGCATCAAGAGCAGGCTGAATCCACTCGTCGGGGAACGGGCATTGCGGGGCAGCCGTGATGTAGTAGCGCTATATGAAGAGCGTTGAGATGCGAGACCTTAATGTGCTATGACATGAAGTATGACGTACCTTGGACGCTCCAGCAGAAAGCGAACGAATGGTGTTCACGAAAGTATCGTAGTGGGCCGAGCTGCCGCTCTCGATGTCAAGGTCCAAACTATATGCGCATGAGAAAGCGCTCGGCGATGCGGATCCTCTGACCCAGGCACGACTTACCCGTCCAATACAGCACTCCCGAAGGGGCGAGTAGACGAGCTTCCTCCGAGGAACTCGTTCCAGACACGCTTCGCGAGGCTCTCTGCCGCTGATGCGTCGGAGAACCCAACTTGTCCAGTCGCACCGCCGAGCGAAAGAGTGACAATCTTGCCCTTCGCCTGGCACGCCTCTATCTGCGATGCCATGAAAGAGCAGTCCGCGAGGTCTGTGCCGGGGAAAGTGCTGAAGTCGAATTGATTGCAAGTCTGGATATTTGTCGGAATAAAGCAGGGGGTCAAGTAGCGGGAGAAGCGTACGTTGGCAAAGTCAATCTCAGGTTGGCTGAGAGTATTCGCGGGACCGAAGAAGACGTAGCTGCGGCAAACTGAATGAGCCACGAGATCGTCGGTCAAGTGCCAGGCAACCAATCTCACAGGAAGGCCATGACTATGTTGTCGATGGTATCATCTTCGCAGTAGCTGCTCAACGACTGCTGGTTCCCAGCCGAGTCTTGTCCCCCTACGTATGGCGTAAGCTCTATGCATCGTGTTTAGCGGGTAGAAAAACGTCGCACAGTAGACAGCCAGCTAGTAGGGGTGAACTGTCAGTAGGTTGTTCATACGATCGGACATTATGTGCACATACATTATCGTTGCGGGTGATATCAAACCCATATACGCCCGCATAGAGACTGGCCAAGACGGCGAAGAGAAGTGAGAAAGGCTGCATGTTGCGGTGGGCTCGAAAAACCGAGGGTATAGTGCCAGAAATGCCGCGCAGCGAAGAAGAGCTCGAGGACTGCTCTGAGGGTGCGGGGATAATACCCTCCAGCATTTATACGACCATCTCTGGCGGCGATTGGCTTCTGCGCAGCATACGCCTGAGAATGAAGCAGATGAACCGACTGTACGTGCGACGAAGCCCAAATGGACAGCAACGCAAGGAGTGGCACACGCATTTCTCTCTTCTGGGCATGTAGCGCGCTCAGCGCAGAAGATTCGGAGTGTTTAGCGGCATGAGTAGACGTGGTGAGCCTTCGCGTGACATAGGACCGCACGACGATACCTCGGAATGACGGTCAGTATCATCGGCAGGTCGACATTCCGGGGGCGCTCGTTGACAAGAGATGATAGTATCGCATGGTCAACTGCGATGAGGTTCGTAGCAATCACGAAGCGGCGTAGGAGGTAGGAAGTGTCTTCTCAGGAGAAGGTGGCCTGTTATCTCTCTGAATACGTAGAGCTCGCGCAAGAAGGGCGTTGGCTCGCAAGTCCAGAACGGAATAGTAACGTTGCAGCATGGTGCCAACCTTTTCGAAGATCACCGGTAGCTCGACGGTCGGCCCCGGTATCCGAACGTGAGCGCGTCCATGCACACGACAACCCTTGGTTTAGCCCCGAACGACCTGTGGTATTCTAGTCAGACGATGGAGGAAGATCATCCTGCGCGCGGTTGCTCTCCTTTCAGGCTGACGGGCAGGGTTAGGTCAAACTTGCACCCGCAGCACTGGTAGCCTCTACCACGGCCTCTGCTGGTATGCCAGGTGGAAGAGAGTTCACGAGACACATCCGAAGGTCCAGGCGGTCCCCGTCTCGAATCCGGCTTCGCACGAGGGTCTCGTGCAACAACGTCCGCCGCAACGCGAGATCTCCCGTTGCAAGAATGCTCTCTGCGAAAACAGGATCCCATATGGAATCGCATAGGCGCCGTTATCAGCAGATACCGGTGTACGATGGAAGCAGGGGCAGCGACAAGCAGATGAAGGCACTGCACATGCTTGTTGCTCGAGCGAAGTAAGGTATGGAAGAGAATGCACGGAGATAAACTTCAGAGTACAGGTTGGCTGCGAATTGAGCGCGTCATAGCAGCCCTTGATCTTCTGAACCGTGGGATAGGCAAAGCGGTAGGGAGATAATCACGACTGGCTCGAGAGTAAAGGTTTGAACGTCGGCTGTTATGGCACAGTCTATAGCATTGAGCCATTGGCGATGGAGGGACCCGGAGTAGTGCAAAGCCGTGGCCATGAACGGAGGGAACAGGATTGTTGGGGGCGCGGCACGACGGAGTTTACCGATTGGCCGCGCCCCGGCCAATCCGGTGCCGACGGCCGGCGTGCCACCATGAATGCCCAGATCACGACGTGGCGACGCTGCCGTGTCAGTACAGCTCGTGAACATTCCTCCATGTTCTGGACTATGCGTGCTCATACTTTGCTCTTCGTGTACGTGCTTGTATGCACAGGGCCTTACTAAGCTGCGCTGTTAGCACTGTTTTGCACTGCTCTGTCATCCTTGCTTGCTAAATCGGGCACTCGGGTTCTCTGTACGCTGACTTGGATGACTTTACGGTACCCTCGGAGCACTTCGGTCACGGCTTTTCTGACTACGTGGAAGTTTCGAAATCGAGCGCCTGGCGTGTAATGTCTGGTATATAATGCGCCGGGCTGTGGCGACGCAGTCCTCCAGCTGCGTCTGCTCAAGTCTCCCAGTTCTTGTCGATCAGTTGAACATCGTTCTTGTTTGCAATGGCCACCGTCGCATCCTTGCCTCAGCCTGCGCACCTTCTTGGGCCCCACGCGTACCCTGTCCACCACCACCAACATCAGCGCGTCAACCATCAACAGAACGGGTTCGGTGCTTTCCACCATCATCACCGCGGGCCATCGCAGTCACCAGCCTCTTTCACCACTTCATGGCGTGAACATGCACCCGCTCCTACATCAGTAGCGCCGGCGAAGTCTACCAACGTATTTGCGCCTCGGAGGCGCTCAGCGTCCCCATCGTGGCGTCACGCTGCCGTGAAGACCCCTGTACCGGGTATGTTCAGCAGGTTCATCTCGGCGCCGAACACTATACTAACGCCTCACTAGATATGCGTACAAACGCGGGAAACACCAAACCTCACGCCGATCTTCGTGTTTACTCCATTCAGGAGCTGCTCGCCCTCGCTTCGTCCCCCTTAGTGGGCGTAAACCCCAAACAGCAGACGGTTCTTACCGACATCACGGAGCACTGGGTGTGGCGTCGCGGTGCGCATACGGAGCCCAAACGCTCCCGTCGCTCGCGTAGTCCGCGCTCTACGAGCCCAAGTACACGGTCATCTTCTCAAGAGTCATCTTGACCTCGTTTGGTGCTCTCAAGTTTTGGATCATCGTTCCTCACACTTCTCTTTACGACTATACACTTCATGACAATCCATATCATCATTCATAATCTCATAGACGCCTCGTTACGGACATTATCAAACTCTACCATGTCACCCCTAAATGTAAAGTAGGCCTAAACCCAGAGAAACCTATACAATTACCTCGCCATCTAGTAACATAGCATGTGCTCCAGACCTGGCCGCAATCAAACAGAAGGTAAGCTGTGAGCCGGAGTGGATACGTTCTCCTTGACGTCCTTCTCACTGCTATCGTCGATGGATGCCGAGCAATCGGCCGAGTCGTTCGAGATTACGCCCTTGCCCGTGAGTAGGCTCGTGCTACCCAAGAGCACTGACTTCAGGTAGCCGCGAGAGTCCCAAATGGGGTAGAAGATGATGACAAGTGCGGCAACCTGGGCAGACACGTTAGCTATCATAACGTACAATGTGAGGAAGCATCCGTACCCAAGCCCTGGAGGTTCTCGTCAGTAGGATGAAGTGATACGTATGGGGGAAAACGTACCAAATGAATTCGATCGCGACGAAGGCCTCAAACCCCGCTTTCGGGAATATGTAGTTGGTGCCGTACTGCATTGGACCGTCAAGTGAGTACGTGAGGAAGTCGGTCGGACGATCAGTAGAACGTACCATGGGAATGGGAATGATAATCAAGAAGACGATGGCCGCGACGATAGATCCCCACCGAGCACGACGGGAAGCTCTTGCCAACGAACCGAGATCGAAGTGACCGAGGTCGTCTACTTTCTCAATCGGATAGATTGTGTCTCCGGCGCGAGGCTTCAGCGCATCCATGGTCATGAGTCGGCTCCAATCGTACTTGGGCGACGAGCGGAAGATGAGACGCGAGACCCAATGCCAAAGGAGAGGCGTAAAGATCCCAGCCACGCATCCTGCGAACATCGGCCAGTTTCCTGAAGGAGTGTGTCATCAGCCATATATATCTCGAGACATGATGGCTGCGAGTACTCACCGAACGTGGTGTTGACACTGATCACGCCATACTGCTGCACGGTGACACCAAGCCAGGCCGCAATGGACACTGCGAGGGAGAACAACGGAGCGTATATGGCCGTCGTCTTCGTCATGGTGTCGCTCATGAGTGAGCCTGCGAGAGGTATGACGGCAGGGCCAATGACGACGCCGAGGAACTCGAGAACCCAAGCCATGTTGAGCTGTGCATAGATGTCAGCATGCATGAAGCTATCAAAGACAACGGTTACTGACCTCAGCGTAGTAAAGTCCAACCGCAAACGAAGACGAAACGATGGCGAATCCGACAACGAACATGTGGCCCATCCACAGGAGCTGCTTATCGCTTGCCGTCGGGTTCAGGTATGGCTTGTACACGTCGTAGGTAAGGACGGAGCTGAGAGCAATGTACTCTGCCGAGGAGCTGCTGGTGACGGCCATGAAGACCATCAGCAAGATCGCCGCGGCTCCACCCTTGCCCATGATAGCCTCGACCGTGAGCGGAAGAATGAGGCCGTTATTCGAGACGTATTCGGTAATTCCGCCCGGTGTTGGCCAGTATTGCGTGTCCTGAAGAACAACAGCGGCGAAGGCGCAGGTGCCAGAGAGAGCGAAGGGGATGATGTACCAGCATGCGCCGCCCCAGAAGTAGCCAGCGACGACGGCTTCAGGTGTGCCCGCCAGGGCCTTTTGACCATACGAAGGATCCACCCAGACGGACGCGAAGCCAGAGACAAGGATAACAGCAGCAAGACTGACAAAATATCGTGAGCGATGAGAGCCGCGAGAATCGACGATAGCGCTTACATCAAACCCTCGGCTGACTTCATCGTGAGGTAGCTTCCTTCATAAGCGCCGAAGCAAGGATTGGTTGTGGCGGCCTCGGTCAACATGTCGTAGAGCTTCGCCGGGGAGCCGATGACATCCGACGTAGCGACGACCTTGAACATCACCGTCAGCAAGATGATGTAGATGACCACAGTGTGTCTGCAAACGAGGTGTGAGCCAACTGAAGATATTTGTAGAATACCAGGACGCACATCCAATCGGCAACGAAAGTTGCCTTAAGCCCTCCAGCCAACGTATACAGTACGACACCAGTAGGAATAAGGTAGAGAGCAGCGATAGCTAGCAATTCCGTCAGCCAACACAAAGTATTCAGGGTCAAAGCACGTACTGTTCACACCCGTGATAGCCGTGACAGCCGCTGAAGCACCCAGCTGATTCGCGTCAGTCCCGATATGAATGCCAGTTGGGCGGGACACCCACAAGTAAAGCAGCCGCCACCAGCAACTGCGTGGCAATGCCAAAGCAGAGGTACACGATATGCGCTGCTGTACCCCAGCGAACGCGGATGACCTCCATGATGGTATGGCATCGAGGCGCACGTCGCTTCAGCTCGATGGCGATGATCCTGATCGGCGAGAGTTCATGATCGCAGACAATGCATATGCAATGGGGAGCACTTACGCAAAGGCGAGTATTTGTATAGTACAACCTGACGCGAAGTACCAAATTCCGGGAAGACCGTAGATGTAGGCGATGCGAACTGAGTTCAGGATGGTTGCTGTGGCATGCGTAGGATTAGCACGGCGAAGATAACCCAAACGCTGAGGCGTACCTGCCCAACACCAAGAGGAGACTACGGCGCTTGCAAGTAGACCGGTCTTGATAGAACGTTTCGCGGTCAGATATGCATCGACGTCTTGGTGCTCGTGGGCCATCCTGCGACTAACCGCCGTGACCGCACTGAGGGCCAAGGCGAAGGCGAGACCGACTAAAGAGGCGTCAGTCCAACATGAACCCTCTGAAAGGCGATATGAGCTCACAGCCCAGAATAATCCCATAGCCCAGGCCCTGGGACAAAGGGGCAGAGGTGGCCACCGCTTCGGACATGATCTAACCTCCTCGGGTACGTGTAACGAGAGAGGTGGTCGCTGGCAGCTTCGCTCCCTTGCTCCCAGCGCAAAAAGCTCATATAAGTAGGCGCCCAAGGTCAGGTCACATCTCAAATTGGACCCCACATCGGCCGCAACCTTATCTGTGGAGAAGGGCAGCAGCGGTCCAGAAGGCTGACTGCGATAGATAGCATGCCGCCGGTTGCGGTTGAGATGCCAGAACGCTAAGGTCCAAAGGCAAGATACCAGAGGCGATCAGGCACACAGACAGACAGCATCTGGTCGTCGTAATGGTCATGACCACCCAAAACGTCTGGTGAAGTAGATGGTGGTATTCGAGCTGAAGCTGATCATGAAGGCAGGAGGCAAGTGCCACGACGCTCGTGTTCACGGACCGGTGATGCGCCAAACGCACCAGAACGCGCCAAGGTCGCGTCGCGACTCTGTCTCTTGACCTCCATGTCGTCTACTGGTCGCGAATGATCTGATATGGCATCTTTCACTCTTGTCGGGTGATCCGCACATAATCCACGCCCGTATCGTCTTCGGGGTACTGGATGACTTTCCACAGGCG